GCAGATTATGATTTGAGCGTTATTTCGTCCAAGGGACTTATTTAAAAAAGTCTCCGGTGAAATGAACTGGAACAGTATAAACAGATGACTCATTCAAACTCTCAGGAAAACTCTCGTTAACTCTGCACTGAGCTGGGCAGATTTCTCACAATGTCGTCAGAACGAGGCTCAGGACCTCGATGTTTTCCAACCGGAGCGAAACGTATCCATCAAAACACATTCCCTGCACCTGAAAATGCATACCTGTCTTTTGCATTCAGTAGGCAAACAGCTCCAGGTAACATACTTCATATGTGGAGATTTGGAAGTGTGCAAGTGTCCCAAAATCTAGTGGGAGCCGTTAGATTCTAAAAGCTCGAAGAAGAAGGGCAGACTGTCACTTGATATTAGGGAATGTCCTGTGCCGATCTCAAAGATTGGGATCGGAGCCGATTAAGCTTTTCTTTTTAACTGATCGGTATCAGGTCTCCTAAGCATGATCCTTATTTTACATCAGCTGTCACACCGGTGTCATGCAGTAGGTTCCAGTAGGTTTGCCAGCCGGCATTAAAAGGAAAAAAAGACGCTCAAATGTCCATGCGTGATGCACGAGAACCAATGGCCCTGCCTCAAATGGCACACTTCATGTGCACTTGCGGTCTTGCGGACAATGACCGCCGCATGTGCATGTCTGTTAAGTCCATGAGACCGTAAGGTGTCCCATTACTCATTTTAACTTTCAGAAGGGCGCTCATGAGTGTCCCCTTTTGCGACCGCTATACGCCATCGATGTGCACCTCTGCCGAACCAGTGTGGACTCAGACGAAGTCTGCAAGGGTGTAGGGTGCAATTTGGTACAGGGCCAGTGAGGTCTGCTCTAGTGCCTGGCACACACATTCCAGCTTTCATGTTTAACGTATATGATGCATACTTTAGTAATGAATCACTCATATATTTACTTTTATCTGCCGTCAGACTATCTGAGACGTCGTTGTCATATGGATTGTGTCTTGCTTCGTTCTTGACTGACAGATTGGCATTCGCGAACTTCATGCTTTCTAACCTTATCTCCACTTTTTCCCCTTTATGTTGCAATTATTTTCTAATAATATCAAGTATCTAAAATACAAGACGTTTTTATCAGTAGTCCTATATTTATAACTCTGACCACACAGTCTCTCTCTTTCTCTCTATAATTTCTGTATCATCAATCTATCTATCTATCTATACACATACATTAATACAGATATTTATATACTACTCTCTGCGCATCCCTGAATAATTTGGTTTGATTTTAATAACTTTAACATACTTTAAGTGTGCACCAAATACTATAATCGGGACTCAGTATTGGCAGATGGCTCAGATCGGATCGGGGTCACAAAAAACCTGATCGGGACATCCCTACTTGATATAACTTGCCATATTTTAATGTTGGATATGTGCCCTCTTTTCTGAGTTTTTATTGAATAAATCTCAATTAAGATGACCAGTTCGAACTTAGGGTGCTTTCACACCTGGCCTGTTGTTTCGGAACCTGGCTTTCATAAAAACAACATTTTGAACAAAAAGCTGAGTTTTTGTCAAAGACTATGGGTGCGTCTCAATCAGCTCCCTTGTTCAGTAGTCAGGGCACTGATCAGGGAGTCAGGCATTTTAAGGGCAGTCTCAATCGCAAAATCCTTCCAGTGCACTGGAACTTTTGCTCCCTGAAAAATCCCACAATGCACTGCAAAAACTAGGGCGCATAGTTGCTCACTATGCTCCCTTACTAGAAATAACGTCACATTTCTGAAGCGTGAAACATAAACCACACGAGCCAACTCGATAAATATAATGACACCCGATAGAAGATTTGAAAAGACAAACCGTTTTTTAGTATATTTCAACATAAACACACATCGCTAGACAGGTAATGAACACATTTACTTAACATTTATAATTAAAATTCAGCTGAAATGTTGTAAGAACATGAAACAGAACAATGTGTTTAAAGAGAATAAAAAATAATATCAAAAAGAGATCGGTCCTGTCTGTTGTTTATTAATTCAAGCGGTGATTTTCTACTATGTTGTCCGTTGACGCTGTACGTAGTCATGTCACTGGAATTCGAGTGATCACTGTCCCAACGTGCAGCAAGTCAGGGAACTTACAAGTGAACGAATTCATGTACATGATCTACTGATTCACGAGCTCGGGAGCTAGGGAGCTGATTGAGACGCACCCTATGTCTGGATCAGTTTCAGATCAATGATCAAAATACAGATGGAGCTGCTTCCATCAACACACCCAAACAGTCCTAAACCAATTCCTGGCTCAACATTTCATTTCCAGACGGTTAGTAAAGTTAGTAGCACTAATAGTTTTAATCATTTACTTTAAAACTAAGTACTTAAAAGGCTCCAAATGCAGCAGTTATACATTAAAGCCAAGATGAAACAGAAGTAGTGACATCATTTCCTGTGACATAATGTGAACAGCCATTATTATAGAGGTTAATATGATTAGTTTAGGCTACAGTAAAAAACAATTATCCTTTTGTAACATATATTCTCTAGTCTGTATATCAGTGTAAGTTCAACATAGTTTAGTACAAGCCATGTGTGAAATGGCTGATTTGTCAGACTTCCATAATGAACAAATCATAATTTTGCATATGTAACTTTAATTGTTTGGTGTTTTAAGAAAAACAGTCTTTATGAATATGACTGCATATAAAAAGCATTGCAAGACTTCATCAGCAAAGACGAAAAGTGGTTGAAAATGGAAAGTGAATAAGAGCGTCACACATTAAAAAGGATTGTGTCCAAACACCACAGAACTACGGCAGAACAAAGTCAGCAAACCTCAGTATTCACCTTGAACAGCCTGTTTCCACACACACACACACAAAAAAACACCACAGAGAACTTCACAAAGTCAACATCCATGAAAGAGCTGCAATTGCTAAAACTTCAATCACAGACACTAATGCTAAAATGCAGATAATATGGTGTCATGATCATAAAACCTGGACAGCTGGAGCCACACGATGAACTTCAGACAAATCACCTGACAGTCACCTGATTCCCGCCAGCAGATGTTCCGGAGACTATAGATGTATGAATCTATTCTAAGAAGGTTTGAAGCTGTATTAAAGGCAAATGGCGGTAAAACACCTTAATAATGAAATGATTGCCTATACAGGTGTCCAACCCCTGTATATCTGAGTTAAACAAAACAAAAAATGGTACGGCAGCAGGGCTAGGTTCTTGCAATGGTTGTTGGTTGAATGGAAGCTTGTGTGCAAGCTTGGGGTCAATTGTAAGAAATGATTGGAGAAGTCAGGGTTAAAAAAATGAAGCATATGCACAGTTGAATTGTTTAAAGTAAGATCAATAACTTGCATTTAGAAAATAGAATTTTAATTTCATGCCGACTATAATGCTTAACAATGGAAAGCTCTCGTGCCTTGCTCTCTGCATTCTCTCACGTTGTTCTGTTATGAGTCAGTGTCCCAAGCCGCAGGAAATCGGACATGAAAGATTTGGCAGTTACACATCAGAAACGGTGCTTATTCCGCTGCACGGCTAAACAGTCCCACCATGCATTAGTGTAGAGCCAAAAGCCTTGAGAAGACAGTGAAGTGACCTTGCGCCTTCAACTCGCACCTGGGACAGCTCACAGCGTGCAATGATGGGAATAATATACTCAACGGAAGACAGCAGCACTTCTGGACCATTTCAGATCTAACGAGCCACAGATAAGACACATTGTGATTTCATTGAACATGGAAAATATACTCTCTGCATATGATGAATTACAGAGATTAACCTTTCAGCCCAAGATAAGATGTTGTAGAGCAACAAGAGGTTGATTGCTTGCTGTGCTGTTTGTCTCTGATTTTAAAATGTTAGTAAGCATACAAATATGATATTTTCAAATATAAATAAACATTGTCAGTCATATTTATTATGAAATGTACAATTTGGGCCATTCTACAAAGTGGATTTCATTTGTGTCTCGCATACACATATCTGTAGCAATAGCGTACAGGCATGAAACATTATTTATGACAATAAATAGCTGATGCCAACTTTATATTGTATAAGAACTTTGTATTTAAAGGGGTCATATGATGCGATTTCAATTTTTCCTTTCTCTTTGGAGTGTTACAAGCTCTTGGTGCATATCATATGACCCCTTTAAATTAGATTCTTTACCTTACATTTTGTAATGAACAGTACTTATCTTATAGAATGTTTAAAACATTCATTTAAAATCACCTCCTCACCGTTTCATAAAATCATCTCAAGCTTATTTTTTATATTGCTTTTCTTTATGAAAGCTTATTTTTATATTGCTTGTGCCAAGTAGTTGAAATGACTGCCTATTATTACAGAGGTAATAAATCAATCGTTTATTTATTATTATAGCGGTATGGGTGAATCTCACAATTAAATGTTATAGTTCACCCCAAAATAATAATAATAATAAAAACATAAATAATAAAACTTACTAAATAAAACAAAATTGAGAAATGTTTGCTAAAAAATGTGCATAACTACATTTTATGCACAACTGAGATTTTTGCATTGTGTTATTTTGTTATTTTACAAACACTTACCATGATATATGCTTAAAACTGTTTAGTAGTACTATTATTATTATTTTTTATTATTATGGTACCGCTGAGAATTTATGGAGCCCCTAAAGGGACATGGTGGTGGAAAGAATTCAGGGTGGGAGGAAAAATTATTTTAAATTTTCTGCGTTCTCTTGCAAAACTTTTGCATTCCCTCGAGAAACCCGCTGAGTTCGGACAAACACTTCCTGTTTACTTTACAGCTTGCAGTGGTGCATACAGATCCGTACGTTCACAATGTAGCATGTTCAAATATCAAATACTCAAATATCTTTGCGAGAGAAAAGTTTCTTCAGGGAACGCAACAATTTTGCGAGAGATCTATTCCCCAAGCCCCGATATCACAATGCAAAAAAAAAAAAAATTGTAATGGTTCTAAAAATAGGCTTCATTTTAAACAAACATATTTATACAACTTATACTTTTGATTTTGGGGTGAATTATGGAACAGGCAGTACGGATCTAAATCTGGATGTGAATAAAGTGTCTGCACATTATTGATCATTTGAAGACTGAAATCATTCAGCAGTGCACATTCTTACGTGTGAACTGAATGTGTCATTACGTCATTATTTTTACATTCACAGTTTCCTCTCAGATAGACATTCACCAGTTTAATCATAACATTATCACCACTGTGCCAAGAAGGACGGCAGTATTTTTCCTTTCCCGTCTGAAGGACTGTTCTCTCAGTCGATGAGACGTCTCTGCACCTTGTTCTGAGTGACGGTCCGAGAGGCTAGCAGTTGGTTTATGGCATCATCGCTGTAGCCCAATGTGTCTCTGAGAACCTGGACCGTGTGCTGGCCAATCACAGGCGGCGGCATCGGATTGCTGGACTCAAAACTACTGTAGCGCACAGCAGGACCTGTGTGGAAACAATAAATTAAGTCAAATAATTGTTATTTCGTAGTATGCGTGCTTAAAATGTTGCTGTTATCTGATAGAGCGCAGGTCCTTGGGTAAACAGCGAAGATTTAAACTGGAATTCTGAATCAAATACGTGACTCCCAGAACCACCCAATCAACAAACACACATGATAACCAATGGTAAAACCTTAACATAAAGAAACATATCATGTCACCTACGCCAAAGGTTCTCAAACTTTCTGATGCCAAAAAAACCCTAATATAATGATCCCCAACAATGGAAGACAATATACACGTTATACACGTTCAATACAGCCTTATGTTCACCAATTAGATCAAATAATACATTATAAAACGGATAGTGCCAGTCCTTGATTCTGATTGGCTGAGCCACGTTCGAAGCTGTTGTAGATTCTTTCATAAAAATAAAACAGTAATATTGTGAAAAATATTATTTACAATTTAAAATAACTGTTTTCTATTGTAAAATATTTTAAAATGCAATATACAGGTGCATCTCAATAAATTAGAATGTCGTGGAAAAGTTCATTTATTTCAGTAATTCAACTCAAATTCAATGGACCAACACCAGCAGATGACATTGCACCCCAAATCATCACAGACTGTGGAAACTTAACACTGGACTTCAAGCAACTTGGGCTATGAGCTTCTCCACCCTTCCTCCAGACTGTAGGACCTTGGTTTCCAAATGAAATACAAAACTTGCTCTCATCTGAAAAGAGGACTTTGGACCACTGGGCAACAGTCCAGTTCTTCTTCTCCTTATCCGAGGTAAGACGCCTCTGACGTTGTCTGTGGTTTAGGAGTAGCTTAACAAGAGGAATACGACAACTGTAGCCAAATTCCTTGACACGTCTGTGTGTGGTGGCTCTTGATGCCTTGAC